GGGCTGTCCTGTGCATTGTAGGATGTTTAACAGCATTCCTGGCCTCTACCTAGTAGATGCCAGTAGCACCGCCTCCACTAATTGTGATAATCAAAAGTGTCTCCTGAGGGCAAGATTGTTCCTGGTTGAGAATTACTGGTTTAGAGTATTCTCTATATAGAATACTCACAATAAGCAGAAAATGTAGTTATAAAAAGTATAGTCGGTTTGACAGTGTTATTTTAAAAATACAAACAAAACAAAAATGGTACGTGTGTGCTTGTGTGCACAAAAATACAGACTACAATGTTGACGGTTGTGCTTTGGGTGGCAGGATTATGGGTGATTGTCTTCCTTGCACTTTTTTGATATAAATATGTGTTAACTTTATAAATAAGAGGGAAAAAATCAGCACTATTTGTACAAAAGAATGCCCTACTTAGCTTTACTATAATAAGGGTATTGCCTCCAAAAATAATGGCTTTGAAAGAGAAGAAAAATACTTGTTATATTTATATATTAAAAAATATTGTCCAGAAGACTATCTCTTTGTCAAACTGTCCACGCCCAAAATTAGTTCTGCAAAAGCAGAGAAACTCACAGAGCCAGTGCATTCTACTCAGGGTGGGTGAGGAGTAGGCCAATTGTACAAGAACAAGTCAACTGCGCCTCAAAAACGTTGCTCACATATTTAAAGGAAAGATACGTGAAATTTAATTTGGATTTCAGTTTTACATAGTAATTACCGAGATGCACTATCGCACATATTAGTCTTCCGTTTTTTCTCATTTGTCTTAAGAAAAATAAATGTGTAAGATTTTGCTAGATTTGGAATGCTATGAATTGAATCCCAACTGCTGGAGTTAATGGTCAAGTATAATAACATATTTGGATAAATTTGGGTAAACTTACTTTTTTTCAGTTCAAATTTTATTTTATGTTTAATAATACGAAAACTGACTGAAACAGAAAAATACTCTAAAAAAGTACTACTTGAGTACTTATTTTCTTGCAATTCTATTGAGCCCAGCAATGAGGGAAAATGAAAAGCTATATTCCCTGGACAGGGTGAGAAAATAAGCCAACACGTTATCTCATTCACTGTTGTACCACTGTATATGAGTCCATAGTAGGCACAAATGCTTCATGAGCTAATGAATGAATAATCTGCTACTATGCCAATTACTGTGCTAGGCACCTATATATGCTATCTTACTGATCCCATACCCAGACAATCCTATGAAGCAGGTATGGATATGAGGCTCACTGGGTAAGTAACTTGCTCAAGGTCATAAGGCTAATAAGTTTCCACTATATCATGTGTTTCTAGGAACTTCATTTGCTCATGATGTTATCTAGATAAACTGAGGACAAACACAGAATAGCTGCTGAAAACATTAGATCATATACTAGCCTCAGTATCCATCCTTACTATCTTTCTTTGTTCCACAAAGGATTTAGTAGAAGGCTGAGACCAAATCCTACAAAAAATAAGGCATTTCACTGTTTTAACTACAAAATCTAAGAGATTTCTTTTTTAATTCATAATCCAATAATAATTTAATCAAGAAAATTTCATCATTAGAAATTTTATTAGCTGAATTAGAAGTGACAGAGAGGAGTTAAGAAACAGGAAGGGGCGATTTAATATACAAAACAGCCTCGACCACTAACTAAAATACAGATATGACTAATTAAAGAAAAAGAAAAAACTCATGCCGTCGAGTCGATTCTGACTCATAGTGACCCTACAGGACAGAGCACAAGTGCTCTACAGGGTTTCCAAGGAGCGGCTGGTAGATTTGAACTGCTGACCTTTTGGTTAGAAGCTGAACACTTAACCACTGTGCCACCAGGGCTCCTAATTAAAATGACCTTATATTAAATCTGAATGTTTACTTTCCTTTTATGTATTGGGCTCAACAATTATTTTTGACAGAATAGTACTGCCAAATCACATCAATAAACTTTTCAGGCTAGGTTTCTCCTCTTCCTGCATAAAGCCTCAGATTATGGTAAAATTCCTGATGAATGTCCCAAAGCCACCTCATAAGCATGGCCTTTTTGTTTTCCAGTGAGACCCTGACCAGAGTCTCCAACAGCAAATCATACAAGGCTAGTAGCCAGTACCATAGAGTGCCTCCAGCAGGGAGAGAGCTAAGTCTTCCGGAAGATGAAGGAGGAAGGGAGGAGGGAGAGAGAGCACGTACACCAGCAAGCAAAGGAGAGCAGGCAAAAAGAGAACGAGCAGAAGGAGGATAAAGAGCGGCCAAGAAGTCTCAACACTATATACCGCTTCCCTCAGCAAACTGGAGAATATCACTCACCTGGTGAGTGCTGTTAGAGCCAGTCATCCAGAAGTGAAAAAAAGGGGCCTTTCCTCATCCTCAATACTCCAGCCTATGCAATTCCACCAACCCAAATTATGTAGACCAAAACAAAACAAAAACAGAGTTGACTATGTTAAAAGACACTTTATGTTCGGAGGCTGTCACCACATTCCTTTTTACCAATTAACTCTTCAATGATGCTTAACTCCTATTAACAGACTAAAAGTACAATGCCTAGTCATTAAAATAATGGTAAAATGGATTTTTTTTATAAGGGAACTATCTTAAAGAACACTTTTGTTGAAAAACTTCCAGAAATATCTTTTAAAAAACCTAGTTGTACCTGCTGAAATGTTTATTTTAGGAAAACAGAAGCTCAAACAGTTAATACAGAAACCAACCACAGGTATGTATGGGTCCTTTAAAACCACATACCTAAAGTAGGGCTTCTCAGTTTCCTAAGCATTTATACTGTTTCCTCAAATCCTCACAACAGCTTTATGAAGTAAGAAGGAAAGATGTCATTACTTCATTTTGCAGACAGAAACAGATCCAGAGAGCTGAGTAATTTCTGAGTAAAGTTTTAAGCTAGTGAAGGGTAGAATGAAATCTGGAATTTAGGTCTTCACACTTCTCACTAAATGCTATTACCAATTTGCTACCTTGAAAATTAGTGCAGAAGTTACTTGAAAGCCTAGGATTTTTTTTTAAATCTTATTACTTATTTCTTTTATTATTATTTTTATTGTGCTTTAGATGAAGGTTTATAAAGCTAATTAGTTTCTCATTAAACAATTAATACACATAATGTTTTGTGATATTGGTTGCCAACTCCACAACATGTCAACACTCTCCCCTTCTCGACTTTTGGTTCCCCATTACCAGCTTTCCTGTTCCCTCCTGCCTTCTCGTCCTTGGCCCTGGGCTGGTGTGTTCCTTTAGTCTCGTTTTTGTTTTATGGGCCTGTCTAGTCTTTGGCTAGAGGGTAAACCTCAGGAGTGACTTCAGTACTGAGTTAAAAGGGTGGCTGGGGGCCATATTTTCAGGGTTTCTCCAGGCTCTGTTAGACCAGTAAGTCTGGTCTCTTTTGTGTGTGTGTAAGTTAGAATTTTGTTCCACATTTTTCTCCAGCTTTGTCCAGGACCCTCTATTGTTATCCCTATACTTCTTTAAATCTTGCTCTAAATTGCCATACCACTACTGAAATACAGTAAATATTTTTAGGCTTATGTTTTATGTAGTTTGTTGTTGTTGTTAGGTGCCATCAAGTCAGTTCGACTCATAGCAACCCTATATACAACAGAACGAAACACTGCCTAGTCCTGAGCTATCCTCACAATGGTTACTAAGTTTGAGCCCATTTATGTAGGTAAGACTAGTAAATATTTCAAGGATAAATAAATAAGTTAATTTGTGGCTCAAATGCTTAAGCGCTTGGCTACTAACCAAAAGGCTGGCTGTTTGAATACATCTCCTAGCAGCGTCTCAGAAGAAAGGCCCGCAGATCTACTTCCAAATGGTCACAACCACTGAAAACCCAATGGAGCACAGTTCTACTCTGAAACACATGGATTCACCATGAGTCAGAATCAACTCTATGACAAGTGATATTTTTATTAATATTAAAAGAGAAAAGGAGAGCAACGGAAGATAGTGTGTGTGTTGTGGGGGGGAATCACAGCATTACCTTATTAAGTATATTTGGAAAATTTTCAGAAGAACCTGGAGCCCCTGAGACAGCTAACTGAGTTTCTGAGGTCTTTAACTCTAACCCTTAAAAGGTCTAAAATCTTATCTATACCATACTACCATAAGCACAAACATTTACTTCAGATATTGTGTACAACTTATCAAGTCCTGAAAGTCTTACAAATAGCTTTTAATGTTCACAGAAATGCTTTAGAAAGTTTGATGGCTTGTCAAATTCACTCTTCTTCTAAAATATACATTCTGAACTTCCTACTGCTTTCAAATCTCTTTAAGGAGATGGGGCGTATACCCATTTAAATTACCTTCTTATTTCAGTTGACTATGTTAGGGTTCTTTTCTCAATGAAATAAATTTTTCTCTTTGCTATTCTTGTTGCCTCATTCTAGCACTGTTTGGCTAGACTTGAACACTTTTCTACTGCCCATACCAGCATTTTCCAAAGTGTGTATTGACGACCACTAGGGACAGGGCTATTAGTAAGTGTTAATGCAGACAAACAACAAAAAGGAAGAGGGTTTTGGTAAACAATGCATTATGAAACCTCCTTCTTGGAAAGTACAATGGACATTAGCAAATTAAAATCTCTAAGAAATTCTGCAGTAAAGAAATCTGTTTAATTTTGTTTAATCCATCCTTATCAAATTTATTTGATCCACCTATTACAAGAAGAAAATTTTGAATTACCAAATTGGTTACACAAGACCCTTTTCAACGAAGCCCAACTCAGTGTAAACAACATAACATAATCCTAAAGTCCAGTATACATTTTATGAATACATATATGATGTCTCCTTGATCTTATCAGGCAGAATTTGGGGATGGGGGGGTGGAGGAGGAGCATTATCTATTACATTTAGAGAATCACTGATTAGTTTACTCTTTGCTTCTTAGTCAATTCAGCATTCCAACCAAAGAAGGCCAGGCCTTGACTGACTACACATGTATGAATAGTTAAACGCAGAGCCAATTCTGGTTTAATACCTCTCATCTTTAAACGTTAATTTCTCCAACTGGCTTCTCCAAATTATATCATCCTCTGTTTTATTGAAGAACATCAGCTTCACTTTCCTTAAAAGTTAAAAAAAAAAAAAAAACTATTTCAATTACATTTAAAATACGTCCGAATGGAAAGTCAAAAGGTGAACTAGGGAAATGTTTTTTTGTGCCAATTAGGTAACCAAAAGCAAACTGAAATGCAATAAAAGAACCAAGTTAAGAAAATAGTTGGGACTGATGACTGAAGGAATAAGAATATGTCTATTGAGGTCCATCGCATATTTAATCAATTTAGAATACTGTATACTAATTTAATAGCTTCACAAAGATAGTAATTAAGAAATAAAATTACGTACCTGAGACTGGGTATATTAGTCAATGCGAAAGTCAGTATTTTAACCATTGGTGTGAAGCCAGTTCCAGCTGCCAATAAAAAGAGATCTTCTAATTTTTGAATCTGAGATCTTTTAAAATTGCCCTCAGGACTGCTTATGGAAACATAATCTCCTAAACAATGAAATATAAACAAAATCAGGGGGAAAAAAAGCAGAAAAACTAGAAGGCTAAATTACAGTTGATACTTTTGATAAGCAACAAGATGAATGCTTAACTTGCAGACCACATCTCAGTTTTAAGGTATGTATGGAATTTTAGGGGTAATCAGTAGATTCCCAAGTATGTCTGCATTACGTCATTATAATCAAATTAATAATGAGGTTTTGTTACACTCATTTCCCAACATTATTTTCCCAAACCATCTGGAGCTCTAATTTACAAAGGACTGCAAAGTACTTATCCACAAACTATCAATAAAGAACTGATAGCTAAATAAAATTAAAAGCATCTCAAAAGCAGAGTCCATGTACACCTGTCTTGCATGCTCCAGGGTAGAGAGTAGATATTCACTATATACATATTGTTATGGACCACAAGAATAAGATTACTAGGAGAGAAAATTGAAATAGAAATGTATTCTAAAATCTTATGTTAGTATATGTTCTAACTTCTCCATCAAATCTTTGAAAATACCTATTGATTAAAACAAGAGCTGTTCTGAATTTAATTTCTATATAAACAAATCAAGATCAGAAAAGCAGTTGACTGCAGTTGGGGCATGCTACTTCCCAGTCTAGAAACAACAGAGTTAAGAAATCAGTGGCCATTTTCTACAATGCAGTTGATATAACCACCAAGTACTACTCATATACAAGAGCTGCCTTTGGGATTAGATTCAGAAATGTTCAATGTAATTTTAAAAACGAAATATAAAGCTGTTTACATTTTAAGAAATAATTTCAAATATTCTGACTTATTTTAAAATGCCTGGGTGCTCACATTTTTTCCTTTATTTTCCATAGCAGGACAGAAGAATCTTGGAGTAACTGATGAACTAAGTACTGTAAGGTAATACAAGCTCCTTGTTAGGGTTTGAAACAGACCAGAAGATTAGGAAGCAATCAGGAAAAAGCCAGTTGGTTCTTTAATGAAGAAGCCTCACAGGATGATATTAACTTGGTAACTTTTGACTATAAACCAGTCCTTCCAATGTCATAAAATTAATTAGACTCAGGCAGGGTAACTGATGTTAATCAAATTCACAAAAGATTAACATACACATACCAGAATGTCAAGTGATTTATAACAGCGGCTATATGTACATTGTGAGCTGAACATTACATGCCCCATCCAAAGCATTTCTTTCCCAGTATGAGAACATTTAAAGGCCAAATTGATTATATAAAAATTGCTTGGTAAACATGGGATTGAAAAAAAGATGCAGATAACTTGATGGGGTAGTTCATTAGGCCATAGTGAGGCTTCATGAGTCATCACTACCATACAAGTATACTACTCTCTAAGTGACACAAGTATTTATGCCATGTCTGTCTCCCCTGGATCAAGTTGAAAAAGCACTGACCTTGCTCTTTGAGTTTTCCTTTTCCATGCTCTAGGCTAGCTCTCCATTCTGCTCTACTCACAAAATCTCTATAAATAGGTTATACAGGTAATTCCCAATTTATGACGTATTTGAGTTACAACGAACCGAACTTATGACCACCTGTTTTTTTTTTTTGGTACATCTTATCATTAGTAATATGTACTATATACAGTGCTGCAGCATGTAATTTTCTGATGTTGTCATTCTCAGATATTCACTCACAGATGCTCAATTTTATGATTTACTGTTCAAAACATTGCCATATGGATTTAGTTTTCTAAACTAAATCAGGGGCTTCAGTTGCTTGAAAACATGGACCCAAATGCTGATAGCTTTGCTAAAGTCAATAGATTTGGGAAGCAGTGAGATGTTACTGCAAAACGTATGAAGGAAAAAAAAAAAAGAACCATATAGACAACTCTCACTAATTTTCTGACAAGAAATGAAGAAATGCCACCCCTATTCCCAGGAATAATACAGATAATCCAGAACCTTCCACAAGTGGAGTTATTACCACTATTGAAAAAATGCCAAAATCATCCAACTCTTCCTCATTATCAAAGTAAATTTTTATGATTTATGTATTTTTATGTATGTATGTATGTGCTAAAATATATCTGTAAGTTTATATGTAATATTTCTAACCCCTAAAGACAAATGAAAGTCAGATTTATAAAGATACTGATAATAAAAGGCAATAATAATGAAAATCAAAAAATAAAATTGAACCATTCGACTTATGTCACAACCAACTTACGATGGAGTCGCTGGAATGGAACCCTGTTGTAAGCTGGGGACTACCTGTAATACCGTCGGTTAAGCTTCCACTTACTATATTACAATCATCTGTCAGTCCTCCCTTCACAAAATGATAGCCACCTTCACTAGGTTTGTGGGTATTCCAAAATTCTTTAGGTTCATATCTGTATACAATATTTTGGTTTATGTAACCAAAGATGAGGAGTCACATCCATTATGTGTAGACTTGTAAGTTTAACTTTCAGAAAGCAACGTATTTCCAAATTGTGGTGATCTACCTCACTGTTACCTTAATGCACTGCTAACGCTGCCTTGAAAAAGAGGAGAGCATTTTTGCTACTGGGCAAAGGCTCTGAAAAGTTGAAGATAACAGAAAAATGAACAGAAGCAAAAAAAGGGGTCTCCAAATATTAACAGAGCTTATTATAGTTCTTTTATTAATTCTTTCAAAGAACATTTATTGAGTGCCTATTATGCATCAACTGTTATGCTAGGTAATAGAGATACAAAGATAAGATAATCTCTGCCCTTAAATTCAAAGTCTTGCAAAGAAGGAATTTATTTATTCTTACAATAAAAAAAAAAAAGTCTTAGTTATTGAAGGGTTCATATGAAGATGGCATCATAAAGGAAGTGATTTTACTTGGGACTTTAAAAAAAGGTACTTGATGAGTAGAAAAAGGGTTGATGGGCATCCCAGGTGAGGCAAATGCACGGACCTATGAATGATGACAAACTTGTGGAATGTGAGTAGCACGAGTGTTTTTGTGTAGCAAGAGAAGAAGCTGGAGAGTCATGGTCTTTGTAGGCCATGCCAAAGCCTTAATCAGTATATATACAGGGACCCATTAGAGGTTACAAAGCTGCAGGGCAACATGATTAAATCTATTCTCAAGGAAGTCTGGAGAAGGTACTGGAAGATGAAGATAGAGAGACACCACCAGTTAGAGGTAATTGAGAGACCAGTTAGAGGCCAAGAAAGAAATGATGAAGACTTAACTCTTGATGCACGGCAGAAGAGAGAGGGAGGAGAGATTACAAAGTCACTGGGAGGGAGGTAGACTCAATAGAATTTAGTGGCTGACTAGAATGGGGAGGGAGAAAGTGGGAAGACTCAGAAATGACTCAAGTCTTCAGAGTGGGTCAAGGATGAACACTGATGTTGTAAATAATAAAGATGGGGAATAGAGGAGTAAGGATAGGTTGGAACACACAGAGAGAGGATGACTTTGGTTGCGGACATGCTGACTTTAAGATATTTGAAAGACACCTACATGGAGATAACTAGAGGGCAGTACAGCATGTGAGCCAATCTAGAGCACAAATGAAGTAAAAAAAAAAAAAAAAAAAAACCCACACACAAAAATAATTACCAATCTGAAGATGATCAAGTTCTGGTGTGAAGAGTCCAGCAGGATAGATTTTGATCAAAAAGTAGATGTATTTATTGTTGGAAATAACTGGTTCCTGGAACTCTGAGAGTAAGGAATCAGATACAGGTGTATATGGCTTCACTATTTCTGTACCTAAAAAAGTCACAACAAAGAAATTAAATTCTAAAAATAGAAAAAGCTCTGAATGAAGATGAAGCATACAAATTTTATGATGCTATCAGTGTATATTTAAAACTATACACCTAGTGTATATATAATTCTAACTTTATGTTCTATATGTATATGACATATGTATACCTACTCCCAGCCTACATGTGCTGAAATAATTTGAACAAATTAATACTTTACTCATAATATAAAGCAGTCTATTTTTATTAAATGTGGCATAAACTAATAGGTATCCAGGTTAATAATTTTAGACAACCATCTGTTCCTTCAGCACATAAACTTTGTAATGGGCTATAAAAAAATGGTATCAAAGTTTACCATAGAGATGTAAGATGGTATTTACATAATAATTTCAATTATACATCAAACTTTTAACAATGGGATCATTTGGGGGAGAAAAAGGGAAGAATTTCACTTTTATATTTTGAATTGTTTTAATGTTTTAATATACTATATATTACTTGTAAGAGAATGAATAGAATGTTAATCTAACTACCTCTAAAAATATAATATTAGAAATTAAGGTAAAATACATACATATTCATGTTATTTTTTGGCTAGCCAGATTCCAAAGAAGAGTCATCAAACATTTGAAAAACCAAAGTTGTACACATGGCTCCCTGATATACACAAAAGTACTACATCTATAAATTAAATTACTTGAAAGTAACTGCACTACTGAAGATAGCCAGCTATTGAATGGTAACTTGGCAGTAGTGATAATGAAGACAAAAACTTAATAGTGCCATCATAATATACTATATCTATCAAATCCTGGCTGGTAATATGTTAAACTAATTGCTCTAAAAACACTACTGAAAGAAACCCAAACCCGTTGCTGACGAGTCAATTCCGACTCATAGTGACCCTACAGGACAGAGTAGAAATGTCCCAGAGGGTTTCCAAGAAGCAGCCAGTAGATCCGAACTGGTGACCTTTTGGTCAGCAGTCAAGCTGTACCACTATGAACCAAACCACTAGGCCACCAGGGCTTATGCAAATGTCACCTTTTGTAGCTTCAAAAGGTCATGAAAATGTTGGACATAACATTAAGAAGGGTATTTAAAACAAGTGAGATAATTTTAGGATGAAAACAAGAGAATAAGAATTCTTACAGTCAGGAATATATTTATAAAGCTCTTTATTGTGGTGGAGCCATTTCTCTGACCAGTGGCAATTTCTTAGTTTCATATGATACTGTGACATGGCAATAGTTTCAACAAGTAACTGCACAACATCTACAAAGCTAGAATCATTACTTAAATATAGCTGCCCAGAAACACTTATTAATAACTTAAATGACTGCTTCCTAAAGACATTAGTAGTGATTTTGAACTGCTTATAAAAGAAGAAAACATTCCCCAAAAGCCTCCATTTTCCTTACCTGTAATAGTTAGCTTGAGGTAAACATGTTGCCCAATTGGCACCTGAAGATGAGTGCTTGGTGGCAGCATCAAGCAGAAAAGCTTCGTATCATGAGTAACATCTTCCTTGGAAATTAACTGGCACTTTCTGCAGTACAAACCTAGAAAGTGATTTGTTTTCTTTTATTGAAGAATAAATTAAATAAGGAGTAATACTAGACCCACCAAGTGAAGCAGAGACTCAGCTTTCGCTCTTTAGGAAGCTTGAATTTCACTAAAATGTCTTATAATTTTTTAAAATTCATCAATATTCTGAAAATCTTATAGTGTTAATTTCTTCATTTTATTTCCTGATATATTTACTTTCTAGAAGCTGTAAATATTTCTATAATTTGAAAGATGAACTTTATTAAATGAATGTTATTTTCTCCATGTCTTTTATCATAGAATATTAAAATCATTATGATCTAAGAAATGAAAACCTAATTCTTCTTAAATTCATTTTTTAATAATTCCATCTTTTAAAATTTTAAGGCCTTATATTAACAGCTATATAATTAAATTATATATATATATTACATATAAATATCTGATAACAAATTTACATTCTAAAGTCTCTTCTTACATAATGGAAAAGTCCTAAAACTCCATTTAAGGTTTCACAATATTAGCAATATTAAATAATTTTAGAAATATCTATCTGATAAAGAAGGTAGGAAAAATATATGTTCTTGTGTCTCTATGTTTGTGTGTGTGTGTGTGTGTGTGTGTACATATACATATATTTACATATATAAAAACATTTTAACTGTAAAAACTGATTAAAACAAAAACTTTTACTTCTAGGGCATAAGTTTTGATTATCTAGAAAATTAATATAAGTGAAAAACTAGAAATGCCAAGCTTGTGGTACTAATATGCAAACAAAGAAAATGAATCTAGTATTTCTACAAATACTGGCAAGATTTGAAAATAACATCCTAAGCTCAGAAAATATTTGTATCTAGAGCAAAGTAATACTATTCGGTTTGGGAAAACTCTTTACAGAAGCTCTGAAAGCATTAATATTTTCACTTGTAAATTCTCTTTTGGGCATAAACACCATTGATGGTATTGGTTTGTTTCATTATTTCCTCTGTTATACATTAGTATTTATAGAGACATAAAGGAATCAACTTTAATAAAGCATTTCTTATTCTAATTATTCTCTTTCTTTTTTACCTAAAAATATTTAGGTAGGTGCAGAAAGACTTACTCCAGATCTTAAAGGAGGCGAGGACCCAACACCCAATAATGAATGCTTAGTGGAAAAAGAAATTCACATATAAACCTAAGAAATCACTTTGGCTACAGTTTCATTTAATTTCCCTTCTTCCATTCTCCCTTTTGCCTCCTGAAGACCCAGGTCACTAAATCTTTCCACCTGCTACCATAATGGCTCTGCATGTACATAAGTTTAGAGAGTATCACAGCACACAAAAATCTGGGGGCATCATTTCAGGTTACCCTGTTCTACTGCCAGGGCATGGGCTTGGACCAAATTATGGCTAAGGGTACCACCCTAAAGTTATCCTGGTAGGCCTATTCCAGTACTGGACTGACCAAAGGGTCAAAGGACATAGCCCCCAAGGAGATAATAAGGTTCAAATGATGTCTTCTTCCTTACCTCCAGGCCCTATGGGACCCAGTGTGAGAATACAATAAGAGACAAAGATACCATATGTCTAAGTATTTTAAAGTTACAAATCAGACAAAAACTATTAAGTAAAATGTTCTATGCCTTGGATATGTACCTTGAAATTCATTAACAATGTCCTAGAAGGCTAGGTTTAAGGTTAGGATTCTTGAACTCCTCAGAGTTCCATGCAGGAAGATGGCCGAGAGATGGGAGCTGCATTCCCACTGACTACGGCGTATCTCCCTTCTCTTCTCACTCATGGCTCTGTCTGATAGCGAGTGGGGTCTTATGTGAGTGTGGACACACCAGCTAATACTTTCAAGCTGGCCCATTAGCTTTCCCCATAAAAAACCTTGACGACTCCTTGAACAGACCAGGGAAGATGCCCAGGCAGACCCAGGAAGCGAATTAGGGCAATTTGGGCAGCGAATTTTGGGGTCCCAATATATGGAATGCCATGTTGAAGGAAAGGGCGTTAAATCCAGGTGGGCACTTCTTGGCCTTGCATACTCCTTGACCTGTGGGAGGGGTATGGCTGCAGGAAAGCCATAGTGGGGCCCTCTAAGTATGGTACCCAGGGCAGGTGTCCCTTTTACCTAGGTCTAAGGGTCACTTCCTTCAATCAGATATAGTGCATGCCCTCTGAATAACTTTAGTAATGGACGAAAGGATTCATCATCTGACCTGGTAACTTCTACTCTAGCATTTGCCAGAAAGGATATGCTATAGTAAGTATGTGTCTTTTAAACTATTCTTAAAACACAAGGAAATCTTGGCTGAGAGTGATTTACTGACTTTTCCTTTGGGGGAGCTGACACAGTCTTGCCTTATAACACTATTTAGGTAGGTAAACATAAAGTTTTACCTATAAATGGTTGCTATAATTTCAAAACAAACATTCTAAGTTCTAAAAGTCTTAAGAGAAGTTTAAGAAAGTTTTAATCTTTCAATGACACTGAAAAGAAAGATGGCACAGACAGAACGGAACTGCAGTGGACGAGGAAAAAAAAAAGTATAAAGCAGATGGTGCTGACTACTTCACTCTGGATAATACCATTATTTAAGTATCAGGATTTTGGCTTTGTAAGCACAGAAAATTACACAAGAAAATGAGAAATTGAAAATAAATGTAAGATGAGGGTAAAATAAAAACATAACACAAAGGTTTCTGCCCAAAATATCTAACTTCTTTTAATAAAATGCATGTAATGTTGAAATCCACAACCCATCTGTCACTTTGTTGTACTGTGGTGGCTTGCGTATTGCTGTGATGCTGGAAGTTTTGCCATTAGTATTTAAAGTACCAGCAGGGTCACCCACGGTGGACAAGTTTCAGCAGAGCTTCCAGACTAAGACAGACTAGGAAGAAAGGTCTAGCAAACTACTACAGACAATTAATCCATGAAAACCTTATGGATCACAACACACACTGTCTGACTCACCTGATTTGAATATGTTATCAAGAGGGATCAATTGTTAAGAGACCAACATCATGTTTGGTGAAGGAGAGGGTCAACAAGGGAGAGGGAGATGCTAAAAGCTCACAAATGGCTGCTAATATATCAAAATTGTGGCACAATTTAAAAATATCTTGTTCGTACTTTTATATCCTAAGGCTATTTACTGGGTTGTTGGTGGTAAATCTTTAAAACTTCCTTTGTTTGGTGATCAACATCTCCATATAAAAGGCAATTACAGTTAAATTAAAATGTTAGGTTGGGTACAGAAAGAGAAATCCAATGACCTATTAGCTTTCAACACACACACACACACACACACACACACACACACACCCGCCCCATGATCTTCAGCTTTGTGGAGAAAAAAAATAATTTGCAGCATCCCGCTTACAAACGGTAGTCTGGTTCCATTCCGAAAATTTTAAAAATTACCTATCACACTTGGATTAAAAGTAAATCATTTTTACCTTTGAAAGAGCAGTTTTAAAAGAAGATAAAAAAAAGAGTAGTTTCTCTTCTCTGATCAATGTTCTTTGTTATATTTGAGTCTTTCATGTAAATAAATTGTAGCTTTGACACGAAAAGGTATTGTATTAAAAGATTTCACCTTAAATGCTTATTTTTCATCTAAAATTCTTTTAACTAGGGAACTCTGATAAGATGCAGCCAGCATGCTAATATCCCATATAAGTCAATAATATTAGTAATACACATATTGAAAACCTAGGAACCACATAACCATTTGAGGTTACAGAGAACAAGTTAGTCATAACACATCGATGATGCAAGTATTCAGCTTTGCTAGTAGATTAAACAACCTATGTATTTTTGTCATGATTTAAGGACAGGAAAAAAAGAAAGAAGAAATTATCTTTGCTAATTCAGTCAAATAAAAACAAAAATATATCCACTAAGCTGAATCAGGTCCTTCTTCCTAGTCTTGTCTTTGTCTGGAAGCTCTGCTGAAACCTGTCTACTATGGATGATCCTGCTGGTATTTGAAGTATCAGTGGCATAGTTTCCAGCATCACAGCAACACACAAGCTCCCACGGTACAACAAATTGACAGACGAGTGGTGGAAGAAGGACCTGGTGATCTACTTCTAAAAAAACTGGCCAGTGAAAACCTTACAAATAGCTGTGAAACGCTGTCGGATATAGTGCTGGAAGATGAGCCCCTAAGATTGGAAGGTACCCAAAATAAGACTGGGGAAGACTAGAGTCCTCCTTAAAGTAGAGTCAACCTTAATGACATGGATGGAGTTAAGCTTTCAGGACCTTTATTTGCTGTGGCACAACTCAAAGTGAGAAGAAATAGCCACAAACATCCATTAATAATCAGAACATGGAATGTAGGAAGTATGAATCTAGGAAAATTGGAAGTCATCAAAAAACGGTTGCAGCAGTATATCGACAGGGAACTGCCAGAAATTCATGCTGGATTCAGAGAGGACATGAAACAAGGGATATCACTGCTGATGTCAGATGGATCTTGGCTGAAAGCAGAGAATACCAGAAAGATGTTTACCTGTTTTATTGACTATGCAAAGGCATTCGACTGTGTAGAACATAACAAATTATGGACAACACTGCGAAGAATGGGAATTCCAGAACACTTAATTGCTCACGTGGAACCTGTACACAGAATAAGAGGCAGTCGTTGAAATGGAGAAAGGAGATATTGTGTGGTTTAAAATCAGAAAAAGTGTGTGTCGGGGTTGTATTCTTTCACCATACTTATTCAATCTGTATTCTGAGCAAATAATCTGAAAAGCTACACTGTATGAAGAACATGGCATCAGGATTGGAGGAAGACTCATTAACAACCTGTGATATGCAGATGACACAACCTTGCTTGCTGAAAATGAAGTGAACCTGAAGCACTTACTGATGAAAATCAAAGTCCACAGTCTTTAGCACAGACTACACCTCAACAGAAATCCTCACAACTGGACCACAATTGGCAACATCATGATAAACGGGGAAAAGGCTGAAGTTGTCTAAGATTTCATTTTACCTGGATCCACAATCAACTCCTATGGAAGCAGCAGTTAAGAATCTATCAAATGACACACTGCATTGGGAAAATCTGCTACAAAAGACCTCTTTAAAGTGTTCAAAAGCAAAGATGTCACCTCGAGGACTAAGATGTGCCTGACCCAAGCCATGGCATTTTCAATCACCTCATATGCACACGAAAGCTAGACAATGAATAAGGAAGACCAAAGAAGAACTGATGTCTTTGAATTATGATGCTGGTGAAGAATACTGAATATACCATGGACTGCCAGAAGAATGAACAAATCTGTCTTGGAAGTACAGCCAGAATGCTCCTTAGAATCGAGGATGGCAAGACTTTGTCTCATATACTTTGGACGTGTTATCAGGAGGGACTACTCCCTGGAGAAGGACAGCATGCTTGGTAAGGTAGAAGGTCAGCAAAAAAGAGGAAGATCCTCAATGAGATGGACTGACACAGTGACTGCAATAATGAGCTCAAACACAGCAGAGATTGTGAGGATGGTGCAGTGTTTCGTTCTGTTGTACACAGGGTCGCTATGATTGGAAACCAACTCAATGCTACCTAACAACAAGCTGAATCATTTTCCAATGTGGAAACCCTACATCACTGAAAAATACACGCATGGCTCTAATTTCAAACAAAAAAGCTAAAGCTGATGCCATGGATTGAACTGTGTACCCCAAAAATATGTGTCAACTTGGTTAGGCCATGATTCCCAGTATTGTGTGGTTGTCCTCCATTTTGTGATTGATATAACTTTCCTAAGTGTTGTAAATCCTAATCTCTGCCTGTGGTTGATGAGGCAAGATTAGATCATGTTAAAGAGGATTAGGGTGGGATGCAACACCCTTGCTCAGGTCACATCCCTGATCCAATGTAAAGGGAGTTTCCCTGAGGTGTGGCCTGAATCACCTTTTATCTTACAAGAAATAAAAGGAAAGGGAAACAAGTAGAGAGTGGGGGACCTCATATCAACAAGAAAGCAGCACCAGGAGCAGAGCGGATCCTTTAGACATGGGGTCCCTGCACCTGAGAAGCTCCTTGACCAGCGGAAGATTGATGACAAGGACCTTCCTCCAGAGCCAACAGAGAGAGAAAGCCTTCCCCTGGAAATAATGGCCTAGATTTGGACTTGTAACCTACCAGTCTGTGAGAGAATAAATTTCTCTTTGTTGAAGCCATCCACTTGTGGTATTTCTGTTATAGCAGCACTAGATGACTAAGACAGCTGACTATGGTGGTTCAGGACTGAAGGAGAAATTTACAGCAGGGATAAGAGTTCATGGAAAGTCTCAGGCTATTACAGAGATTACTTGAACAATGATCATTCTATTTCAAATGGAGGTCAGCCGTGGTTCTCAGTGTCTTTTATTTCTTGGACTTGGCTTTTATCTAGATTACTATTAATTTTTCAATCACTACATAAATCAGATAATTTCATTTTCATTGTCTCTTTCCTAGTCTCTTCTGATCTCCTAGATCATACTATTATGTAATCCTCGTTGATATCTCTTCCTAGCTAATACCACAAAATTCAGACCTCCTGCTCTGGTAAAGTTAACCTATTTGACCTTTCCTACATACCACTTATATTCTTCTTCTCTACAACCTGCAAAATGCCTAGCACATTAAGTACTCAGTCATGATCTGAAGCCCTACCTGAAAAATCCTTCATAGTTTTTGCTTGGTTTTTTTTAAAGCCATGTACCCTACTTTTAAAACACTCTTCAAAATTTACCTTTCTAAGGACGTTATTAAAGATCAAAGCCATCTCTATTTACTTGGGGCTAACTCAGATTATCTTCAGTTTGTACTACATAACTTACACTTGACCTGCTTCTTTATAAAAGTATTCTTCAATCTCATGTTTGTATATGTTCTCTCTTCCATTTAGGGAAATAATTTCTGATACCTTTTGTTATATACCACAGTGCCTAAAATAGCCTTGTACATACAATGTGTTCTCAAATTAAGTCTGATCTTTTTCAAAAATTAAAATATTATCTATATTTTTATAATGCTAAAAAATGTAATAATTTTAAGTATTTAAACAGGGTAAACTGAATACATGCAGTTAGTTCTTCTGAACCCCTAAAAAATGCCAGCAAAGGAAACTTTTGTGTGTGCTTGACTGTTTTCTAAGGCATAAACCCATAAGGACAAAATGAATGGAAACGAGACAAAACCAACAAAACTTTGGGAGCTGACAGGGAAAAGAGATGACTGCTAACTGACTCAACAGACCCAAGAAAGCTTAATCCTACACTAGAAGTATGGAAAGCCAAGAACTAACCCATTTATAATACAAAATTCCTTTAAGGCTCAGTAACTGGCAGGACCAAGTGTGCAATCAAGGTTGAAGGTGGAATCAAGGGTGAAGGTGGGGCTGAAAATACTTTCTGGGATGAAAGTTCATTTAAGAACCTGTGAGTCCTCCTCCACTGAGAAGCCCTGCCCTACTTAAGAGCATAGCCACATGACTGACTCTCCTCCATCCTGGCAAAATATTATGTTTTCTCTCTAGAGAGGGTAAAATAAAGGGCCACTGGATTGGGTATATTAGGCAAAAACAGAAAAATTAATTCAAGTTTACAGACACCCCAGTCTTCTTTCCCCACATGGCTTCCAGAATGCTGGGTACAAGGTAGAAGATTGTTCACTTGAGACTCTGGCACTGGAGTTTTACCAAAGAAAGGATCCAGTTGAGTCACTTATACTGAATACTACTGTTGACAAGTCACACCCACATGCACAGAATTTCCAATCAGGTTTTAGAACTCCACCCTGAAATATGAGCAGACAGGTGAAAATGAGCAGACATTCAAAGAATGCATTTTATGAAAGACAAACCAAAACAAACCAGCAACAATAACCAAGCTTGGGGGGACACAGAGGTTACATAAGGAAAAGAAAATTCTAAAACATTATCAGTAATCTTTAAAAAGATAAGAGAAGCAAATAAGAACAGGATGCTAAAACAAAGGAACAGAAATCAAATGAATTCTTAAAAATTAAAAATATTATAGTAGAAATGAGTAACTCAATGGAAGAGTTAGAAGATACAGTTGAAGAAATCTCCCCAAAAGTACCACAAAAGGACAAAGATAAGATAGAGGACTGGTGAAAGAGGTTCAATATAAGAAAAATACTTCTAGAAAGTAAAAACAGATCATGGAGAAAGGAAAAACCAATAATTTGTCCCATAATGGAAGGTCATGAGTCTCTATATTAAATGATTAACACAAAAGATGAAAACAGACCCACATTAAGGCATATCATAAAATTTCAAAACACTTGGAACAAGAAGCAAACCCTCCCAATTTCCAGAGAAGAAACAGGAAAAAACCATGTAAAAAATCAACAAGTAGTACACTTGTAATATGTGCCCTTTTCCATATATATGTTATACTTAGATAACAAGTTTAAAAAACAAAGAAGAAAGGAAATGAATAATATCCTTTAGGAGTAAACTGAGAAACTGGTTTACTTATGTAGTAAAACAATAAACGTGTATTTTTTCATAGAAAAAAATCTGACATGCATACAAGGCATACACTTGAACTTGTTTTTGCCATCTTTTATAAAAAGGGACACGAAGGAGCAAATGGCTGGACAACAGTCAAAGCACAAGTGTGCTTCTCCATTCAAAGTAATGTTACCTAATGACTTTATTATTCCTAAACATCAGAGGCAGTCTGAAATGTAACCTATGTGTGAAAAGTAGGATAACAGACATAATGTCCCATTTCAACTACTCAGAGGCAGACATAAACCCTGGTGGCGTAGTGGGTAAGAGCTACGGCTGCTAACCCAAAGGTGGGCAGTTCGAATCCACAAGGTGCTCCTTGAAAACTCTATAGGGCAGTTCTACTCTGTCTTATAGGGTCACTATGAGTCGAAACTGACTCGACAGCAACGGGTTTGGTTTTTGGTTTAGAAGGCAGACATAAGGACCCTTCAGCTTATACCAAAGTGGCCTTGCAAACTCTGGTACAGATGAGCCACTAACACAACAATCTGCTGAACACAGGACTCAAAACCATAGCACAACATACCTGTATCTTTCTTTGGAATAAATGAATTATGATTCTCCAGGGGATGACCAAGACACTTCCAAGAAGTATTCTCTTTTTTCTTCAGAACAATCTCTATTTTTCCCACATTCTCAACAACCCGCACTGAAAAGAAAATAAATTCCATTTGTATTCACTGATACTAAATGTAAGATTTCATTTTAAAACCAATCTTTCTCAAATAATCCAAATGTCCAGACCCGATATGAATGATGCTTATCACTGGTAGGATAAATAAGGTTTTGTTCACATGTTCATCAAAACTGTTTATGCCTTATGTGATGGTAAATCCAACTTAGTTTATATTAGAATCAGATTAACTTCTTCCAAACTAATTTATCAAGGGCCAAAACAATATGCACTGCTAGTTTTCATAAAGGTCAAATACAGCCATGGCAACTACTTAATACACAACCAAAAAAAATGTAGGGCTGACAAATATAAATAAGCCATTGACTGCACCTGCAAAAGCAAATTTAATTTGCTTCCTTGGTTAGGATTTGAGGGGATTCTTCAGTAGACCAATATTGAGCCTAACAAATACAAGAACAGCCTTGGAAGAATGAGTCCCTAAATATGGAATGAAATAACAGAGTGTGCATGAATCTTTGATAATTAAAACCTTTTAGATTTTTAAAAAATTTTTTTGAATAATTAGAATAGCTTAGAATACATGAGTATAGTAATAAAACAGACTTGTAAACACTGGTTTAAATTTTATGAACTGACTGTGCTTTTAAACCCCTAAGTTTTGTCATTAGAAACAATGTATCTGCTCTTCCTCACTGTAAACAACACAGCACAGCAGCAATTTAACAACTTTTTAAAACAGATCAGTCGAATTCAATTCAATGAGTGATCATTTGAAACTTAACAAAGATATAAACATGGTCCTTTACTTTAAAGAGCTTAATTTACACAATTTACAGAGCTTACTACGGTATATGGAAAAGAGGACACACAGAACTAGCGCAAGGTACTCTTGTTGTTAGTTGCCGCTGAGTCATTTCCGACTCATAGTGACCCTGTGTACAACAGAATAAAACACTGCCTGGTCCTGTGCCACACTCACAATCGTTATGCTTGAGCCCATTGTTACAGCGCTGTGTCAATCTATCTTGGTACTCTGACAGTACTTTAAAACCAGAAATCACCATTTCATGGTGAATCTTTTGTTGTTAAACAGCTGTGTAAAATCCATACTGCACATTTTTATGTAATATTCATAATTTAATTTGCTCTGTCAACATTAAACATTTAAGTATGCATACCTCAGAAAAATTTGTCTTGTCTAGTATATCTTCTAAAGAAGCCCTGGTAGCGCGGTGGTTAAGTACTCGGCTACTAACCGAAAAGTTGGTGGTTCGAACCCACCAGCTGTTCCATGGGAGAAAGATGTGGCAGTCTGCTTCCATAAAGATTTACAGCCTTGGAAATCCTATGGGGGCAGTTCTACTCTGTCCTACATACAGGGTCACTGTGAGTTGGAACTGACTCGATGGCAATGGGTAGGGGTAGTATAGTTCTACAAGCTGCATGTCAGGAATAGGATAGAGATGAGGAAGGAAAGAAGGAAGAATGAAAAGGAGATAGTTTTTGTTTGTTTTTTTAAAGATGAGAAAAAGGAATGTGTAAACAGATGAAAGGTACAAGGGGAAAGAAAATATGGTGAAAAAACTGAAACCTGAGGGAGAAGAGTGTATTTAAAAAGTAATGTATTTGCTTATATAGTAAACATAATAGTATACCCTTGTTTTCCAACATGAGAATATACATACGAAAAAAAAGACAAATACTAATTTCTCTCTCTCTCTGTGTATGTGTAACTCAAATTTGAGTGTTTTGTTGTTTTTTTTTTTTTCTTGGTAGCTTACCAGAAAAATCTTCCTGAATCTCATGGCTTAGCCCTGGGAAAGAAAAACATATTTAATAAAAATTCAACTTCAATTTATACAGTTTATGAACACCATATAAGATCACTGAAATGGTTCTATTATGCACCATTTTAAATCCCTCAAGACAAGTAAAATATACCATCCTGAAGGACCAAAAGAAATTGTACACAGCCAAAATGGAGAGTCAAATTATTTAAATATGCATTTTTTTTTTTTCCCTATTTCTCTATTAACTGAAGAGTAAATAATTTTCCACAAGACGGTAACCACACTAGCCCAAGCACAGTCTCAGACTGGCATTCCGACACACCAGGAAGGGAATACAGCAGGGACAGGCAGCACTTGAGACACATGCTCCAGTGTATGTGTGTGTGCATACAGCTCAGATCTGGGCCTAGCTTAGCATTTTCTTTCTTATTGGTTTCTAAAACTAAATATCCATTCAGTTATTCAAAATAATATTTTTTGAGCATCTATGTGTGCCACGCACTTTCTAGGTGTTATGGATGCAAGAGCCAACAAAAGAGACAAAAGCCCCTGCTCTTAAATGGAACTTACATGTTATAAGAGGGAGATGTAAGAAATACTTTTACAAATACCTACTCTAAATTTCACTGGGTCAATATGGTTACCTGAAACTTAATAACTGTGTTATTTTAGTCCTTCTGATCCAATATTAGCAAACAAGAGTTTCATGTATCTGTTTTTGACTGTGAAATTTTTACTTTTTATCTATGTGCCAGATGTACTGTTAGCTACAGTGTGAGCAAAATTAGTCATTAAGTATTTGAATCATAATATATGCTGGCACACAGGTTTTATTTCTGTGAAATCATGACAGTGGTGGACATCTGACTGTTCAGTTAGAACTCATATGACATAATACCCATTAGATCTCATGCAAACAAAAAATAACAACAACAAAAAAAACATGCAATAGGGTAGTATATATCTGGACCTTGGTGGAGCAGTGGTTAAGAGTTTGGCTGCTAATCAAAAAATCAGCAGTTCAAATCCACCAGCCGCATCCTGGAAATTCTATGGTGCAGTTCTACTCTGTCCTACAAGGTCGCTATGAGTCGAAATTGATTTAACGGTAATGGAAGTTTTTATATCTAGAAGAAAAGTTTAAGGTTTGAGGTTGATTAATGAATGCGGAGGGGAGGTGTGGTGAGAAAAAAAAAATCATTTATCAACTCAGACTGAACACAGGACTAAAGGTACTTCATTAACATAGCAAAGCAGTGAGCAGAATGTCGAGTTAGCTGAGGTCTGGAGAATTTCAGTCTGTGTTTCACAAAAGCAAATTTTTTTTTTTTTTCAAAGTTAGAAAACATGCTTAAAACACCATTACCAAGATTATTTTCTTTTTGTTTCATTTCTACCTTCTGACAAGAACATCACCTTCGTAAAAGGACATCATTTTACAAAGAGAAAAGGGGGAAATTCTAGAGTCAAGTTCATTATGGATGAGAAATGATTAAGAACCTGATATCTTAGATTTCAAATTCTAGCCCTGATTTCTTTCTTCTGATAGATGTCTGTCTTAGGTAGTGCTGCTATAACAGAAATACCACAAGTGGATGGCTTTAACAAACAGAAATTTATTTTCTCACAGTTTAGGTGCCTAGAAGTCCGAACTCAGGGTGCTGGCTCTAGGGGAAGCTTTCTCTCTCTGCCAGCTCTGGAGGAAGGTCCTTGTCTCTTTAGCTTCTGCTTCCTGGTTTGCTGGAGAACTCCTTGTGTCTTGGCATCTATCTTACCCCATCTCTGTTTCCTTCCCTTCCCTCTTTAATCTCTTTTATATCTCAAAAAGAGAATGACTTAAGACATGCCCTACACAAATTTTGTCTCATTAACATGACAAAGACAACCCATTCCCACATGGGACTATAACCACGGGCATAGAGGTTAGTATTTACAACACATATTTTGGGGGGACACAATTCAACTCATAACATTCCATGTCTGGCCCCCCAAAAATTCATGTACTTGCCATATGCAAAACACATGCACCCCACCACATCATCCCAAAAGTCTTAAATCAATGCCAAGTCCAAAGTCTCATCTTCTAAATCATCTGAATCAAATATGGATAATACTTTAGGCGATTTCCCTGCTGGGGCATAATTCTTGTTCATCTGTGACCCTGTGAAATCTAGAACACAAGTTATCTGCTTCCACAGTACAATGGTACAACAGGTACAAGGTAGACATTTTCATTACAAATGAAAGAAATTGGAGGGAAAGAAGGGATAACAGGCACCAAGCAAGTCCAAAACCCAGAAGAACAATTTACATTAGCTCTCAAGACTTGAAAATAATCCTCCGTTCTTTGAGACAATTTACGCAGTCCTCTAGACACTGGATGGAGGCCCCTCGGCCCTGGGCTTCAGCTCCAGCTTCCGGACTCACTGGAATGGGCAGCCCCATTCTCCTAGGATATCTGAGTGGCGACCATACCTCCTTGGCTAATCAGGCCGCATTCTTCTGCCCCTTGGGCATGGCGGCCCCACCCCCTCTGCTTTGGGCAGTGGTTCAACCCCCAACACTCGTGAACAGCAGCCTCACACACTGGAGCTGAGTTGGTGAAGATCTGACTCTTTTAAACCTAGGAGGCTGTGACTCTACCCTTTGAAACTGAGGCAGCCCTGCTTCTTGTGCTCCTTCCAACAGTTCTGGTGATCCTGAAGCTGCTCCAGGGATGGTCCTTTATTTTTTTTTTAAATCTTGGAGAACAACAGATGTACCTCCTTTGGTCTGTTTCCTGCCTGTAGAATTCCAAGAGGCAGACAGTATTCCTTCCTTTCATTCCTTCTCTGTCTCCTTCAGTCTAAGCTGATGGGTTTTCTTTTGTGGTAGTTGGTTAGATCATCAGTCATAGGCTTAATTTCTTTAACAAAAGATTACATAGCCATGTCCTTGGTGAACAGTCCAGGACACGTCCTTAGTTTGTACAACAGAATTTTCCAAATCTTTAAGTTCTCTTTTAATTTTGCACAGTTCATTTTTAAGTCCATCTCTTTCCTCTCACATTTTACTAGAAGTGGCAACAAGAAACCACAAGACCCCTTTAAGATCTTGCTTAGAAATCTCATCAGCCAGATATCCAAGTTCATTACTTACAAGTTCTACCTTCCACCAAATATTTGAACATAATTCAGACAAGTTCTTTGCTACTGCATAAAAAGTATCCCCCTTTCTCCACTGTCCAATCACATGTTCACCATTTTCTTTTAAAGCCTCACCAGAAGCACATTTAATGTCCAAATTTCTAAAATTCTGTTGCTGGCACCATATGTATTCTCTAAGATGATAGAGACTTCCTCTATAGCTCTCCTCACTTCCTTCTGAGCCCTCACTAGAAGTGCCTTTGATGTCCACAATTCTACCAACAGTCTCTTCAAGGCAACCTAGGCTTTTACTATTAGGCACCTTAAAACTCTTCCAGCCTCTACCTATTACATAATTCAAAAACCACTTCCACATTTTAGGTATCTGTTAGAGCAGCACCTCATTTTTCTGGTACTAAATTCTGTCTTAGTTATCTAGTCCTGCTGTAACAGAAATACCACAAGTAGATAGATTTAACAAAATAGAAATTTATTTTTCTACAGTTTAGTAGGACAGAAATCCGAATTCAGAGCGCTGGCTTGAGGAGCCGGCTTTCTCTCTCTGTCAGCTCTTGAGGAAGGTCCTTGTCTCTTCAGCTTCTGCTTTCTGGTTTCTTGCAGACTCCACGTGTCTTGGCACCTACCTTATCCTATCTCTCCTTACTCTTTTGCTTGTTTAATCCCTTCTGCATTTCAAAAGAGATTGACTCAAGACACTACCTATACAAATCCCATCTCATTAACATAACAAAACAACACATTCACAAATGGGATTATAACCACAGGTTATAGGGGTTAGGATTTACAACACATATTTTGGGGGGGACACAGTTCAATCCACAACAATCTCTAACCTCTCAAAACAGAAATGAACTGTATGGTTGGTCTTTGGCCATGGAAAGACAGGCAGTCAAGGGACACAACAGTAACCTTACAGTCCAGGCTGCTCTGGTTCAACCTCTGACTTCTGGTGACAGAGCTGGCAAAGAATGGGCCAATGGAATGGTCAACTTAGTGATGGGTGCTTACTACAAGTGACAGACAGTCCTCTGGAGAGTTATTTGTAGATGTCAAGTGCAAGAGACTCACCATAACTGGGTTGACCAATATTTTGTGTTATTACTGATTCTGATTGCATCTAATCATCTAAAACTTGGAAATAAGAAGTCATACTACCATTTGTTAGCGCTTTCATCAGTGTACATAAAAAAACTGATCAAAAATGACAAACCAAAATGATAATAGCAAATAAAATATTATAGTTATCTAGGCTGTAGAACAAGTTATTGTTACACTTAAAGGAAAACTGAGTTGCTTCCATTAATGAAAAATAAGGTACTCACCAAGATGTATGAGATATGAATAATCCTTGATAATTGTTTCTGCTCTAAAGGAATCATCCTGATGATCAACTATTACTGAGTCCACATTGATATCCTTAAACAGAATGCATAAAAAAGAAAGATTAAAAAGTAAATTATTTTTCTGAACTCCTACAACTATACTTTTAAGATAATCAGTGGAAGTTCATAAGCTGCTTCTTTACAGAACCCCCAAGCTAAATAAAGGCTATTTCTGTTTTTTCTCTCATATAACCCTGTTCTTCTCCTTCAAAGCCCTTATCACCATCTTAATTATATATTTGTCTCTATTTAATATCTGCCTTAGCCACTGGTCTCTAAGCTGTAGGCATAGGAAACTGTCTTTAGAACACTGCTTGCCACCTAGTAGGTGCTCAATAAGTATATGCTGAATAAATAATGTAGCAAAAAAAAACAAAAAAAAAAACAAAAAACAAAAAACGGAATCAGGCAAGAAACCAAAATACTTGTGCTCATTTTAACTTTTCTACTATAGTGTGGTGCTGAGCAATTATTACAACCTCTCAACCTCAGCCAGGGACCTAACAAACATTTTGAGGTCTTTAATTTACACACAGAAACCCTGGTGGTATAGTGGTTAAGAGCTACAGCTGCTAACCAAAAGGTCAGCAGTTTGAATCCACCAGGCGCTCCCTGGAAACCCTATGTGGCGGTTCTACTCTGTCCTATAGAGTGGGTATGAGTTGGAATCAACTCAGCGGCAATGGGTAATTTATACACGGGATTCCCTGAGTAGCAAAAATGGTTAACAGCTCTACTACTGGATCTCGGCCCAAGATGGTGGCTGTCCCTCTACAGCAAAGACCCAAGAAACCAAGTGAAACAGATTCAGGTGATGATCCTGGAACCCTGAGCATCAAACAGAAGAATAAAGAATTAGATTGAATACCAATTAGAAAGAGAAACTGAACAAAAACAGCAAATGAAGAGCAATATGGAGTGGAGGTGCCCTGTCAGCTGGCCTGGCACAGCATGGCCATCTTGAGACAAAGATGGCTGCGATCCTGGGTGAGGAGCACAAGAAGGCAACTTCACGGAATTCCCAAGAGAAGACAGAGAAACTGTGTAGACATGTGGAGTGAAGCAAGGTGAGCAGGACACAAACTGGATCTAAGGAGGGAAAGTACAGGAAGGAGGGCAAGAGCTCCAGGGATCCTCTAGTCGACATAGCAGTGAGAGAGCCAGAATCCAGAGTTAGGACTACTCACCAGCAGTCGTCCCTAACCATTATGGTGGGTAGCGCACAAAGAGTAAAGATCCATAGACTGTCAGCAGGAGGTTCCTAAACTGACCGGACTCTAGGTAGCTCCCCTACTCCTCGAACTTGGTTGCAGCCAAGTCCCAACAGCTGGGCTGCAGCCAATGGGGAGTGCCCAGGTACCCACACCTAGTGACCAGAGGAGTAGGCTCCCCCTTCTGCCGTCCTCCTGGTGATTAGAGGCACAAAACACCACCACCTCAGCTGCCCGGCCCAACCAGGCACCATAGTATGAGCAACCCCTTTCACTCCCCACCAATTCCCACCACACCTGCCAGACCCCTGCCCACCCGGTGACCAGCAGTGGGCACTCCCATGCTGCTGGTGGCCTGCCATATCACCCTGCCCACCACCCCTCCCACCTGCCACTCCATTCACCTGGCGAGTAACAATAAGCATGCCCGCGCCACCTGTCACTTGCCCTACACCAACTGTCCATCACACCACACCTGCAGCCCTGTCTACCCAGCAATTGGCAGAGTGCTCCCATGCCCCAGTTACCTGCCACACCTCCCTATCCACCACCCCGTCCAACCATCGAGTGGTAGTGAGCTCTCCTGTGCTGCTGGTAGCCAGCCATACCCCCTCCCACCATTCCACCCACCCAGTGTGCAGCAGTGAGTGCTCCCACACCACTAGACTGACAACAGGTGGCAGACTGCACCCGCCCAGTCAGGCTCCAGCCACCTCGCAAGTCTCATGAAGAGTGATGCATGTCTGACCTGCCTGTTGCTGCCCCGCCCACCTGGCCAAAGGTGGTGAGCATGTCCATGCTGCCAGACCAGCAATCAGCGGAGCACACCTGCCCCACCCATTCTGATATATCAAAATGACAAATCAAGTCAAAACAAACAAACATACAATAAATAGATAAATACATAAATAAAATAACACCTTAATGCCTTGGTGACAGCAGACAATATCAAATCATCTGAAAAACCAGGATAAGATAGTGCAAACAAATGAAAAAATAAAGGGAAAGAAAAACTTCCTGAGGAAGAAACAATAACAGAACTACCTGAGAAGGAATTCAAAAGACTTATATTTAGGATCCTCAAAGAGATCAAGCAAAACAGAAAAAAAAACCTAGAAAAATGCAGGAAAACAATACAAGAGTTAAGTAACAGACTCAACAGACAAGTAGAACTATACAAAAACAACAAGAAAAAATTCAGAAGATTAACAATAAAATATCACAGACAACTCAATAGAAGAACACAGAAATAGAATTCAACCAATAGAAGAAAGAATCAGTGAAATGGAGAACAAACCCTTTGATACTAACTTGTTTGAGGGTCAATCAGAAAAAGGAATGAAGAAAATGAAGAAACCTTAAGAGTTATGTGGGACACTGTCAAGAGGAGTAACTTATGCATAAATGAATTCCAGAAGATGAGGGGAGAAAAGTACAAAGAGAATTTCTGAAGATTATATAGTGGCTAAAAACTTCCCAAACATCATGAAAGATAAGAAGGTTAGCATCCAAGAAGCTCAACAAACCCCATACAGGATAAAACTGGTTGCCACAGAGTCGATTCATATCAAAAACAAAAAACAAAAAACATATATGCTGCTGTTAAGTCAATTCTAGCTCACAGCGACCTACAAGACACAGCAGAACTGCCCCAAAGGGTTTCTAAGGGGCATCTGGTGGATTCAAACTGTTGGCCTTTTGGTTAGCAGCCAAATTCTTAACCACTGCACCACCAGGGCTCCTCAATTCATAGACCTCCCAAAAATTCACCAAGACATATCATAATCAAATTTCCCAAAACCAAACCAAAAAAGCATTCTGAAACTAGCTTGTGAAAAATGAAATATCACTTACAAAGGGGCACCACTAAGACTAAGCATTGATTTCTCATCAGAAACCATGCAGGCAAGAAGGCAACAGATGACATATATAAAATCCTGAAGGAAAAGAACTGCCAAGTAAGAATCATATATCCAGCAAAACTGTCTCTCAAAAACGATGGTGATGAAAGGAAGGACAACTCACAATACAGGGGAAGTCAGCACTACTGGACTAAACTAAAAGCTAAGAAGTTTCCTGAACCAACCAAACACTTTGAGGGACAGTGTAGCAGGGGCAGGGGTCTGGGGATCATGGTTTCAGGGAACATCTAGGTCAACTGGCACAATAAAGTTTATTAAGAAAATGTTTTGCATCCCACTTTGGTGAGTGGCATCTGGAATCTTAAAAGCTAGCGAGCGACCATCGAAGAAGCATCAATTGGTCCCAACCCACCTGCAGCAAAGGAGAATGAAGAACACAAAAGACATATTGGAATTATTAGCCCAAGAGACAAAAGGGGCCACATAAACTGGAGACTCCATCAGCCTGAGACCAGAAAAACTAGATGGTGCCTGGCTACCCGCAATGACTGCCCTGACACAGAACACAACAGAGAGTCCTCAATGGAGTAGGAGAAAAGTGGGGTGCAGAACTCAAATTCTAGTAAAAAGACCAGACTTAATGGTCTGAGACTGGAGGAACCCCAGAAGACATGGTCCCCGGACTCTCTGTTAACCCAAAACTAAAACCATTCCCAAAGCCAACTCTTCAGACAAATAATAGACTGGACTATAAGACATAAAATGATACTCGTGAAGAGTATGCTTCTTAGTTCAAGTAGATACACAAGACTAAACAGGCAGCTCCTGTTCGGAGGCAAGATAAGAAGGCAGAAAGGGATAGGAGCTGGTTGAATGGATATGGGAAATCCGGGGTGGAAAGCAGGAATGTGTGGTCACATTACAGGGATAGCAACTAGGGTCACATAACAATGTGTGTATAAATTTTTGTACGAGAAACTGACTTGAGCTGTAAACTTTTACCTAAAACACAATAAAAAATAAAGAAAAAAATAAAAAAAGATGGTAAAACTAAGACAATCCCAGAAAACAAGAAACTAAGGGAATCTGAAAAACCTGATGAGCTTTACAGTAAATATTAAACGGACTCCTTTGGATAGAGAACCAACAAATCCAGACAACAACCTGAGATAAAGACACATGACAATGACACCCAGATACCAACCCAGATAAAGACTTCAAAAAAAGCAAAATAAAGCTAAAAAACTGACTACAGGGAACCAGAGGAGTTAAGCTGTAAACAATGATAACTGCAAAGCAAAAAAGGGGAATAAAAGATGTAGTAATAGAACTTCCCTATGGGGAGGAAGTAAACTTGATCTCAAGATATAACAGACTGTTTTAACTTTAAGAGGACTAAACTTCAGAGTTACCAAAAAGAAATAACTCACCACAATGAAGAAAACCAAAAAGACTCAGTAGACATGCGCGTGCGTGCTCGCACGCGCGCACACACACACACACGCACAAAATGACTGATAGGAAAAGAGAAAAAAACAAGATTGATAGGAAAAGAAAATCCATATACAGAAAGAACTCAGGACATAAAATTAAGAGGAAAAAGAAACCATTAACATCACATAAAAAAAGGATAACAAAATGACGGCAATGAATCTATTCCTAACGTCAATCACGCTGAATGTAAATGGATTAAATGCACCAGTCAAGAGAGGGAGTGGAAAAATGGATAAAAAGTATGACCTATCAATAAGTTGCCTACAAAAGACACACTTCACACAAAGAAATAATCGAATGATGGTAAAAAATTTATCAAGTGAACAGTATCCAAAAGAGAGCAAGAGTAGCAATAATAATGTCAGATAAGACAGACGTTAAGTTCAAATACGTTATAAGAGATAAAGAAGGGCATCATATGATTAAAGAAAGGATCAATCCACCAAGAAGACATAATCATAATTAAC